CCCCAAAACCCCAAAACCCCAAAACCCCAAAACCCCATTATCAATATTAGTTTTAAATATTTAATCATTGTAACAATAAAATAAATAGTTAATTAATTATTAGAGATTTCGCGAATCCCTCACTGCTTCTTTATAGCTTCCATTCTCATGATTAGAGACCTCATTCTCGCTTCTTCTATCTTTGCCTTTTCCTTTTCAAGAGGAGTCTGCTCGTCCTTTCCAAAAGAGTTGTCAAAGTTCTGCACCACATTGAATAAGTTCTTGAGAGACTTGTCCTTCATAGCTGCTCTCTTTTGTATTATGTAGTCCTCGTTCTTCTTCAGCTAGTCCATAAACGCTGCTACAATCTTGCGATAGCCGCTGTTAGTGGTGTGCTTCTTGAACTTCCTCAGGAGAACGCCCACAGGCACGATAATCTCGGGGAAGCTGATGTTCTTGCTGTTATTGGCGTAGTATATAGTCAGCTCTTCAAGAATCTCCTTCACAATGCGGTCCTTCATCTCCTGCGTCTCCTGGTGCTTCTTTGCGATTTTAAGTGAAATCAGGGTTTCTGGGATCATCTTGTCCTGGAGAGGCTTGGACTTGGTGTTGAGCAGCTCGTTCTGCATGTCGAAGGGGTAAAGCAGGTACTGAGCGATGGGGATGAACTGCTTGGTGTGCTGGTTTATCATTGACATCAAGTGGAACAACTTTATGTGGAAGGGGAAGTACTTTATGTTAGAGGATAGTCTCATTGTGCCAATAGCTAGTTGCACAAACGGGTGAACCAACAGGGAAAGCTCTTATTGATGCCTGATAATGGCTAGAGCGAGAAGTTTCAAGCAGTTGTAGAACTACCACGAATACACATTCTTTATTCCGTCTTTGGTCTATTCAAATATTAATCAAAAATAAACTTACTAAGTTATTTCTGATGTTTCTTAGATGGAGACATAGTGATCTGACATACAGGAAGCCAAGTTGATATGCACTTGAGGTATTCAAGCCTAGTAGTTCAACGAAGCAGTTCTAAGCAACTCTAATCTTGTCTTGAACTTGGAATCCACCTCCGCCGTTCTTGCTTTCTTTTGTGAACTCATTGTATAATTTCTGAATAATCATTATAAGATGTTTATATATCTAACCTTTGCAGCGAATTCGAACAGAGCAGAGTCTTGCTTGGGATTGTTCCAGCAAATCACAGCTCTAAGTGTTTAGAATGCCAGCATCTGAGTGCTCTCCTCTGACTGCGAGTATTGACCGATAATCTAAGCACAACTTGCACACAGTTTTTTCTTATACACTCCAAAGGGAAGACATATTTGAGCCACTTGAATACCGTTTACTAAGAATTCCTCAATAAAAGCGCTGCTTGAGCCCTCCTCTAGGGTTTGCTGCAGGAGTCTGCTGTAGTTGGCTGAGTAAGTCTTGAGAAGTAGTTGCTGTTTAGCACTCAAATGCCCGAATACCTTCTTCAAATCATACTCTTTCAAGTGCTTGTCATTGGTGGGCACTTTCAAGTTGATGTTGCATAGCTTCAAGATTAGATTTGGTACTTCTGAGGCGAAGAAGATCAGCAGTCTCTTATACTGAGCACTGTCAAGGATAGCTGCTATGTTGAACTTCTTGTCCTTCTTCCTTTTATTCTTCTTCTTAGTTTACTCACCTTCTTGAGCTTGCTCCTCATCATCGTCCTCTTTCTATTGGCTCACATTGAATACCTGCTTAACAATCTTAATGATCTTAGTAATGCTATTATAATTGGGGCTCTCCTTGGTATTCGTAATCATCTACTCTAGAAGTCTCGATCTGGTCTGCTCTACAGTTTCTTTCTTCTAAACTACTTCAGCTACCTTGGACTTCTTTTTAGAGACCTTGTACTCTCCTGAGTCTTTAGACTTCTTAGACTTGCTGAAGTCTTCCTCATCCTAAATACCTAGCTCTCTATAGTAATCCTCAAGCTCTGAGTCAGTCTCCTCTCCAGCAGCATCTCTCATGTATTCATCTTCATCTTAAGACTCTTCCTCATCGCTCTCTGGCAAGTTTAGATCATCTCCGTACTTCTAGAACTCGCTCTCATCAAAGTTATCTTCATTTCCGAGATCTTGGTCTCTAGCTAACTCTCTCTCTAGCTCTTCGTCCTCATCTTCCATGATCTCCTCGATCTCCTTTTCCTTAACCTTATCTGTAGACTCCTACTTCTATCTCTTTCTCTATACGTACTTATCAGACTCATTAGCGTTCTTCTTCTTCTTAGTGTCGAATCTACGCTTTGACCTCTGCTTGAAGTCTCTCTTTCTCTTTGAGTCCTCAATTGCTCTGACTTTATTAGGCATTTAATATCTATAATCAAGTATATATGTATTTAATTGATTTTAACTTCATATATGTATTAATAAATCTCCTCTATTAATTAATCACATTCACATTTAAAATAAATAAACAAACACTGACTTTCATCATTGTTGTACTTCTTATGTCTAATCATCTTTTTCCTTACTCTGTAAACTTAAGTATTCGAACTTCTATTAGATGTCTACAGTCTCTTTAGTATCATCATCTTATACTTATTAAGTTATTTGAGATTCCACATTAACTAATTGTTTCTCATTCTAATTAGAATCATCTTTTTCATAGTCTTTCCTCTCTTCCTCTTCTTATTTCTACTCTTCTTCGTGATCTTCATCCTCTTCGCTACTGCTAGATGGCATGTCTCCATTTCTCTAATTTTACTATAAATCTTGCTCCTCATCTTCATCTTCTTCTTCGTCTGAAGAACTTGAAGGCATTTCAATCTCTCTATTCCTGTTCTACTCTCTTAACTCATCTAATTCCTTAAGCATTTCTTCCTGAGCTATCATCATCTCATCTGAGGTCTGAGCCTTAACATACTTCTCAAAGTAAATCTCATTCAAAAAGAAGAATGCTCCACCCCACTTAAAGCAGTCCATAACCTACTCTGCCTCTTCTTAGAATCCAGATAGATATAGAGCACCAGCAAGAGCTTCAGCACAAGTAAGCTTGATCTCTTTCCCGTAGTTGACAGGATTTGCTGCTAACATGTACGGAAGCAGTCTTTCGTTCTTCTTGATGGATTTGACCTTTACTGAGTCGAAAAACTGCCATGAACAATCAATGACACATACTCCAGCAGTTTAGATAATCTCTTTATCCTCTGGCGAGACCATTTTAGTAGCTGTAGGTGTTAATACTATGCCACTGAATTTGGCCTGCTTAGTCAAGGTTGATAGAAGTCCGTGCTTTTTTAGTATCATGCCTGAGCATTTCTTGGGATCACACTAGTCAAAGTACCACATGCATAGTCTAACTGGAAAGTCAACTTGTTTGTCCGGCTTGTCCTCGTACTTATGAGATTTTTCCTTGAATTTCTTATGACCTCCTCCTCTTCTCGATGCCATTATAATTATTTTATATTATTTGCAATTTAATTCTTCTTTAATGATATTATGTATGCTGGGGTTTTGGGGTTTTGGGGTTTTGGGG